ATTTATAGCATCTGCAGTTCTTTTGGTTTTTAATTGTTTCATGCTCAATGTGCCTCTGCCATTTTTATTGAGATTTTCCATGGCCGGTCATTGGACACCAAAGGTTTTAAATCTTTTTTCTGGAGTATTGCTCAAAGTAAGCTGGTAATGCCACAGGTAGGAAAACAGTATACTTGGGAGCTGAAAGAAGTAACTACATTCTTACCCAATGAGACTAAAGGATTGGGAAATTAACAGTACTAGGATAGAGAAGGGAAAATTTGAATGGGTGAATTCAATGTCAAAATAGAAGCAAAAAGGACTGCAAGGTTGAGGTATGATTAAGATGAGGCGAAAAACTCACTTAAGGAATGGGATTCCATCCTTATTAATTTTCAGTGCGAGTTCATTTATATTTATCACAGGAGAATGAGAGATAATCTCATTGAAACATTTGAGATCAGAATGGGTTTGACTGGGCAGATACTGAGCTATCCTTTCCACGGGCTGGGGAAACTGGAACAAGGAGGCCCAATTTCAGGATAAAAGACTGATCAGATGTTTTACATAACAGACTGCGAATCATTGGAATTTAAGGCTGGGATACAAAATAAGGAACAGGCAGGAAAGTGAAGTTCAAGGCTGAGGTCAGCCATGATCATTATGAATGGCAGAGCATGCTCAAAGGGTTGGTGGTCTTCTCCTGATGCTATTTATGTTCTTAATGTTCCCCAGACTATCTTTTAACTGAGAGACAATGGCTACATAATTGTCGATGTGATTATCAGCTGTTTAGTTATCATTTTGCTTTGGATCTTGCATTATAGTAATCAAATGGCTGTTGTAAATCACTGAAAAGGTAATGGGCTGCCAAATACTTACATAATGGAAACACCATTCCACTTCCCAACAGTTTAGTATTGAAATAAAATGACATGTCTAGCTCTAATAGAAACATGAAAATGAGTTTATTTGAACATTGATCAAGAAAAAGCCTAGGTGATTGCTAATGGACAAGAAACATGTGCTTTTCATTGGAACAAATTACTAAGTATGTTCAACTGAAATTATCTCTAAAATTCCCATATAAAATTATGATGATAGTGGCTGCCACCAGACTGAGCATCTATAGTGTTTTGCTTTGATACTGTATATGAAGCCTTTTATAGAAGGATACATAATCCTAAGAAGCATAAACAAATCCTTAGTTGGATGTACATCCAAATGTCTGATCCCTCAGTGAAAGACACAATCTGCTGCTGGCAGTAATTAGCTTATCTAAATGTGTATAGAGGTTGAAGCAAAGGATGAATTTTAACAGAAATCAGCTAAATCAATTTTGGCATGTCTCATGGAGTGTTTCTTTCTACAAGGCCTAACAAGTTATCTCACACCATGTTCCCAAACTCGCCTCGTTACCTACGCAACACATCGCTATGGCACTCTACTTGTTGCATTCTCCCACTTGCCATAGGCAAAACACTTGCCTCTGCCAACATTTCCCAGCATTCTTGGCACAGCACCATCTTTGAAGCCTTGCTGTGCATCCAGTCAAACACTAGCAGTCTGGAGTTGCACTTGAAGGGCAATCACAAACTAATGCTTCTCAGGGTACACTGATGGCATAGTTGATACTGCATTGCACATTCTTACAACCATTACTATTTAAGAACCAAGACACACAGCTTACTTGTCCTTCGCTTCCTCACACTTTACAATCCTGCCTAAGTAAGTGCTACTCTTTCCCCAAGGCCCATTGTTGGCCAGTGTCTCCTCATTGAACAATGTGTGACAATCACATACTGGAAAGGCTTCAAACAGTTCAAAATACTCACTTTTGTTCACCAACAGCAAAGGTGAACAAAAAAAAACTGAGCAGAAGCTGCATTTGCCTCTGGGAATGGAAAAGGACTGCTGCTTTGTGAGCACCAACAAATTACAATCTATTATGTGATCATTGCACCCAACTCTCATTTACTGGAAGGTGTCAATTAAATCCTATCTGACTTCTTGTATTTGACCCTGCTGCACTCTATCATGTAGAAGGTGATGCTTCCTGCTACTTAATGACCTCATCTTCCTCTTGGGAAGACTGCTGCCGCTGTCCCAACTCTTCAGCATCTAACACGTTTCCTCTTTCCCTGCTCCAGTTATTTACAGCGAAGCACACTAGGGTAATGCTGCATGTTCGATTCGGAGTGCACTGCAAGGACTCCCCAAACTGAACTCAGCATCGGAACCTCATCCTCAGGAGACCTAACATGTGCTCCACCAACACTCTGGTCGAAGAATGGGCAGCAATGTATGTTCAGCTGAATGCAGAAGGTAGCCATGGTCTCGCAGTAACCATCTCTGTAAGGCAAATGGTCCTTGATATGAACCAGAAGCATGAGAGTTCTCACGGATATAGGAATCACGGTATTGCCGTGGTACTTGGTTCAGACTTCCAAGATGCAGTGCCAGTGATCACAGCTGGCTTGCATGGCTTGGTGGGAAGAAGCCCTTTTCTATTGGTGAACTTGGCTGCATTATATGGTGCTCTCAATGCAAAGGCCGTACAGTCCACTACACCCTGAATCTGGGGAAGCCATTTATGTTGACAAAGTCTGCTGCCTGGGCTGCAGCACTGACCTCATCACAGGGAAACAAGATGAAGCAATGTGATCGGTCAGAAAATGCCTCAGTCACGGGCCTTGATACATTTGTGGGTGGATGATCGAGAGATCCCACACAGCACATCAGTGGCTCCTTGTAACCAGCCAGTTGCATAAAACTTTAGCGCAGCTATCAACTTGACAGCTTCCCCACCAGAATTGGATAGCCAACCATTCTGTGTCACAAGTCCAACTCCAGCAGCTGGCATAGTTCTGCAACAGTGTCCTGAGAACACAGTGCCTCGCTCACCTAGAGGAAATGGCATTGAAAATGATAGACTCTAGTCATCCTATGCATTCTGAGGGGACCTTCAGCTGTGCTGTCTTCATGTGGAAGATATTCAGCATACGTCGGAGGTTGCTGCCGGTCCTGTGTTCACCGGCAGCATTCCTTTTAACTCTGTGGTTGTACATTCCTTCAGCGGTCATGTGCACACCATACATACACCAATGAATTAATGCCGATGCATTAACTTCTGGTTCCAGAAGTCACTTTCGTGCATAGGCCTCAGAGATTAGGGGAAAACATAGCTTGTAGGCACATCTGTTCCAATTCTATCTCTCTGCACTTCGTTGCATTGCAGTAACAGCTATGATAACCATACTATGGCCGGATTCATCAGTCACATTTCCAGTGAATCCGTGAGGAATGTAAGAGAAAACAATAAGGTCCTTAGAATTGTGAACAGTCAGAATTCACATCACACACAAATGAAAGGTTGAGCATAGTTCTCCATACAGTGGGGGATGGACCACTCCAACAAGGAGGGCCATAGAATTCCTCTAAATCAAACTTTGACAGAGGGACCTGATTCCAATGAATGTAGCCAAGTAATATTGCAAAAGACAGTAGGAGATTATAAGTCAATACAGTGTGGAGCTAGAGGAAAACAGCAGGTCAGGCAGTATCAGAAAGCAGGAAAGTCGACGTTTTGGGCCTAGACCCTTCATCAGGCCCGAAACATCGACTTTCCTGTTCCTCTGATGCTGCCTGACCTGCTGTGTTCCTCCAGCTCCAAATTGTATCGACTCTGACTCCAGGATCTGCAGTTCCTGCTACCTCCAGGAGATTATAAGTGCTGCATGAGTGCTGAGATCTTCTTCTCCAGCCCCACATCGCCCAAGAAAGGCATCATTGCATATAGGTGCATATTAGCCAATGTGTACAGTTCAACGTGAGAGAGAATGAGTTCCCTATCTCTATGTAGCCTGTTAGGATGTGCATTATCTTTTGTGCTTTGTGACTGCCGATGGTGCATTTAAGATTGTCTGAGACTATCACGGCTTCGCAGAGATTACTATCTTCAATCTGCAATGGCCAGTGACATGATCATGATAGCTTGTGACATGGTGGCATTTGCACTCCATACAGTTGGGCAATGCAATCAATTCTTATACACAATGTTACAATAATAGATTGCCTGTAACAGTGGAAGTATCTGATGAATCCTGAAGGGCCTCACATCTCTCAGAAGTAGAAGCTGTGTGCTCAGACAGAAAATAAAATTGATTCCACCAAGTCCAGGTGTGGGCACAAGCCATTTTTCATTTGCAGTGCGCATCTTTGAGTTGCATAAGCGTGGAAAGCCATAAGACATAGCAGAAGTAGGCTTTTTGTCCATTGAGTATGCTCCACCATTAAATAAGATCAAGACTGACCTGATAATCCTGACAACACTAGTTGCATTTGGAAGTGAACCTCAGGCTCATCCTGGTCAACAAACTGCGCCCCCATGTTCCTTTGTTCCTTGCATTTCCTAGTCAGCCCATCAGTACTGATCCTCCACACACTCCATACACCAGTTGGAATTATGTCTTTAGCTCTCAACATTACCCCAAACCCTAGCCATATATATTAGTCATGCTCACCATCATACCTCACAGTCAAGGCCAGTGGTTGAGATTGTCAATAACACCTCCCTCCTGTAGTATCCCAATGTCCTCCAATACACCATTGTCTCTTCACCAATATGTCAAATCTCTCCTCTTCACAATTATTGTCCTCTCTGGATCCCAGATTGCTGCTTCCAATCCCCAGAACCTAGTTCCCCAACTTTCCTACCACTGCAATGACCCGTGATAACAACCTCTGACATTCATTGACTTGACTCCTAGGACTGACCAAGTGCCACACTCCCAATCGACTAGCCAACCTTAGAGTGAGGAGTTAATATTAGTCCCAGATCAGGAGTGTTGAGGTTAAATCCTGAAGAGGTTAAAGATGAGTATCTTTAGCACCTGAAGCCCAGGTGCATGATAGATCCAGGAAGGCATTATCTACAGTTCCTGTCTAAAAGTTGAAGTCACAAGTGACTTAAACCTGTCAAGGTGTTCAACACAGAACTCTAGTGTGAGTATTGTATGAGTCATGATTTGGGTACTTTAGAAAAGCTGTTTTGTTTCTTTACAAATTATAAAGGAGAATTTAGGGATTAATGGAATTATACTTTTACTGTGTATTTAAAAACTTTGAATTTGTGTTGTAAGTAGATGGTTTGGTTTATTCTACTTTATCTTTATTTGTTTTGTTAAACTTCTGCTTTATGTTAAAGCAAAATCTGCAGCATTGCATACTTAAGTTTCAGTGACAGACCATTTTGTAAAAACCCAAAGAAAAGGAAAAAAAAACGGAAATGAGGTAGCCAATTCCAACGGACCCCAGAGTTTAAATACCAGGCGGGAAAACACAACAGCGCTTTATTGGAGGCTGCACTGATGATGTTACCCAGCAGGGTAATGAAATATCTGCGAACTAATGAACCGGCTCAGCGAGTGAACCAACCACAGCTTCCACAACCCAAGCTACAAATCTACTCAAGAACCTTACGTGATAATACTGTAGGAAGATTGGAATTCCAAAAGTCATGCTACAATACATCGCAATAGCATTAAAAATGTGCACATTGTTCACAATCAACTGACTTTATTTTGAGCCTGCATACTTGTCTCGACTCAACCTCATCATAGGAGAAGGAAGAGAACAACCTCCCAGAGAACCACTGGACCACAAACAGACAGCTGTCCAAACATTGGTCCAGGAACAAAACATTACTTAACAACCTGTCAAGGGTAATCAGTAGAACATTTCACTGGGTTTCCTACACTCTGGCTAATCCAACCAGAAGACTGAATCAAGTGAGATGACTTTTTTGAAAAAAGAGAGGTGCCTAATACATTGAACATACAGGAAGCCTGAGATTTTTCAGAACTGGTGGAAACATTCAACCCTCTGTCTTGTAAAATGTCAATCAATGCCAGTGACAAATATAGTACTGAGACAGCAGCAATCTTTCATTTGATAAGAGTCTGAAAAAAAATCCAGTTAACCAGTAAAGCAACCACAATAGGAACCTGACAACATCCAGTTTGATCACTAATTTGAGAAAATAAGCCACAGGTACCTCCACTGGAGCCAGATCAACAGGCACAGTTCCAGCACAAATTCAAAATGAAGAAACTGCCTGGTATAAGCATCCAAGATCCTACAAAAAACAGACTACCTAATCAAATTAGAAAGTGGTTACCTGATCCAGAAATCTAGAGTACTACAAAGAAGAAAGTACTTACTTCCTTTAAGAAAAGAAAGTCAGATGATTAAGCGTCCTCTATAATAAGGCAATGGATCGACAACAATGTCTACAAAGCATAATGTCTTCCACAAATTGTATCTGAGAGATGAAAGGTCATCCAGTAGAGATACCATCCACATCAAAATAAAGGTCTACAGTCCTCAAAGCAAGCAAGAGACCTACCACTCTTCCAATTCTGAAGATAATGCATTTTGAGAAAAGTATCACCTGTCCGGACCACCCGTATCTGTGTCGTCAGAAACTTGAAATGCAGCATGGTAAATACAAAATAGTCATACAATGGATTAACTACGTGCGAAAAAGAAGGTTGGAGCGAAAGGTAATGGTTCTGAGGGAGTTAATAATCATAGTACATCGGCTCCACCCATTCTTTTGAAGTCACATAGCCTTTAGGTGAAGACAAAGAAAGCTAGCTTCTGGAGAGAGCAGATGTACCTGCACCCCTAATTTCCAAAGAATCATGTCTGACCAAATGTATTTATACTTTTAGCTATTAAGCAATAAATCTTCTTGTTGTCTTCGGGCAGTGTCTATTCTGTAGACACTCTGCATTACTGTATCCACTACCACTAATCACTAGATGGCCCTAAGACAAAGCAAAGATAAACGAGGATTGGTGACAGTGAACCATCTCAAAGAATCCTTACCCAATATCACATACCAGTAGTAGTGGTAAATACCTCCAGGTGCCAACAGTGGTCAACTGGGAAAATACCACCTGGCTAAGCATAAAATGGTAACACTCTTTCTTTATTCAAAACTAGCTGCAACCCGATTTTAGTGCATTTCCAGTATTTTGCTTCAGGGTTCAAAATGGCTTTGTTTTTACGAAGAAATATATTTTCTACTACTGATAAATGATGTAATAAACTTGGTTTGGTCTAGCCAACAGTATGAGATAATCCAACAAGTTGACACCTCCACATATACGCTCAATGCTGCTCCATGAATAAATGTTTAGGCATCACCTAAGTTGCTGCGATAAACTGTGAAACAGGAAATTCCAACTGGTTATTCTGGAGAACTGGATTATTGTGATTTTGTAGGATAAAGGTGAAAACTCCAACACACGCTTCTGCAGCTTGTCGACAGGACACCAAACACTCAAGCATCTAAAGCTAGGATAAGATTTCAAACTCTGGAATGGAAGAGCTCATTCCTCAGAGAAACAAACTTGTGCAGGGATAAATTCTTGCAGTCAGTTATAGGCATTCAATTATTAATTTTATGGACAAATGTAGTTTCCTGTTCTGCACCCAATCCCAACCACAAGCAATCAATGCAAATCTTCCAGCCAACTATAACCTTTTTGGTATCATAAATGGCAATAAAAACAGTCTCACCACAATCACATATCTCATGAAAAAGTTCTTTATACTCACAATTCTTATCTTGTACAGCATTTTTGCTAAGAGAGGGCAGTTCATAATTGTCTTAAAATCCCAAGTTGCACAAACAAAATTGCAATAACAGAACTCCCACAGCTGAGCACCTCACCCTAATTCCAGTTGGAGCATGTGTTATCTGGAGTTGCTGCAGAATGACCAAACTGAATCAGAGAGTTTTCAATCAAAAAAACCTGAAAACTCTCCTCCTAGTTTGTTTAAAAAACTGGCTCAATAATTAACATAACAGAATGGTACAGGTTCTAGTGGAATCATGTCAAAAGCATCGGTCAGAATGCCTCAGAAGAAAAGTGAAGAATTCTTTTTACATTAAATTCTGAAGGGTGGAGAGCTTGATTGATCAGATCATACAATATTCTTACTAAAACTAATTTGGTTATTTGCTCATGCGTTCATTTCTTCATATGGTGTGGAACATAACTTACCCACAGTCCGTGATTTAGTCAGCAAGTGAGCTATGTCCCTATATATTTTATGAAGGTATTCCTGACATTTATCCCACAGTCCTTTTCTCATACTTGTGAGTCGACACATAAACAGAAATGCCATCAGTGGGTTATACAGAAACAGGGTGAAAAGGCTGCCACGTTGAGTTTGATCTGGAAAGACAGGCACACAATTTAAGATGATTTTGAGAAGGACAATTCTTTCACTAGTAGTTCTCATGAATTCTTAACACAATGCAAAATGAAAACAATATCTTTGACTTGGAACACTTGCAAAATGCTGTTATTAAGATACCATCATTCTCCACTTTAAAGTTTTGTTGGTTTTATTATAATTGCATATTTACCAAAATGTACAACCAATATTTAAACTCGACTATGAATTACACAGCATAAATTTCAGGCAGAAGACATCAAAAGATTATCTACAGTATTCCTTAAATATATTTCAGATAATCTTGAATCCCATTGCTAACAAGAACCTTTCTGAATTCCACAACCGAGGTTTCTTGTTCCACCACCGATGATACAAATCTGTTCTACATATTTATCATTTTACATATGGAATGAAGTTGTCTCAATGTTTTTCATTTCATATATCAAAATCAAATATTAGTCACAATCACTTCAAAATCCACATCAAAATAGTGTTCACATTACTACATAATTACACTGCATCCTTGGATAATATAGAAAATAATAGTTGCATTGCACTGCACAATTTTCAACTAACTGGAATAGTGAGTAGCATACTCATTAATTAATGCTCTACAAACAGTATTTACATACATGCATACCTTGTAAACCTTTGGGATATGCTGTTGGAGAAAGCAGACAGACTAAAGGTTGGCCAAATAAATTGATAAAGTTCTGCAAAGAGAAATAATAATTTTTAACCTTGATGCTTTTAAGAAATAATACAGCTTGGAAATGAAGAGAAATATATTAAACAAGTATAGAAATAAATGTGTTATAAACACCAATACTTATTCTAGCTGTTGGCATTTATTGTTTACAGCTTCTCGTGAATAACGGCTACTGCATAAATCAGTATTTGGAACTTGAAAAACTTCACATTTCTGCCTTTCACAGAAATGTTTTCATATACTAATGACTTTGATATTTAAATGAAAGACCATATAATATGCCAGTACCTTTAAATAAAATCGATGCTAATATCACAGCTTGCCAATCAATAATCAATGTGGAATATGAACAGATATGTCAGTCCAAGTCATGTAGATGGATTAACAATGTGGCACATACACAATTAAAAGGTAGAAATGTAAATGCAACCCTTTCATAAGTTTGCCTACATAAAGGGACCTCACAAAGAGACGTGGCATTTAAATGTATGCAATGGCATGAGGTTGTGGTACTTCGCCACCAAACACCTTGTCTGTTTAAGTGTCTGAACTTCTAATGGTACAGGAAATTTTTAAGAATCCCCTCTCTTGCACCGAAAATAATCTGTTCTAAGTGTGAAGTTCAATTCCTTCAAAAGAACATTATTTTAAAAAAGCTCATTCTTTGTCTCTAACTTATTGTCATAGTCCATTTATTTTGTTATTCATTTATACCTTTGCTTATTTTTTCAAATTGTATTAAAGATTCTACCTTACACTTTCGAGGTAGACCCTGCATGTTTCAATAAGGATTCTTCAGATTGGTTAAAGTAATACACTGTTGCTTGCTGTGTTGCCATTGGGCCCTACATCCCCTGCAGAGTTCTGTGCTGTTTTGGTAATCTAATAGCTACATAGAACAGAGTAAAATCTGGCAGAACATCCACAACAAAGCGCAGTTACAATGTGCGACTGCTACTAGCTACATGTTCAAGCTGATTTTTCCACATCTGATAAGCAATTCACTCAAATGGTCTAAAACTGGGACACATCTCTGATAGAATCATACAGCACAGAAACAGACCCTTCAGTCCAACCAGTCCATGCTAACCATAATCCCAAACTAAACTAGTCCCAGAGATAGTAGGAACTGCAGATGCTGGAGAATCCGAGACAACAAGGTGCAGGGCTGGATGAACACAGCAGGCCAAGCAGCAGAAAGGCTGACGTTTCGGGCCTAGACCCTTCATCAGAAAAGGGGGAGGGGAAGGGGGTTCTGAAATAAATAGGGAGAGAGTGGGAGGCGGATAGAAGATGGATAGAGGAGAGGATAGGTGGAGAGGAAACAAACAGGTCGAAGAGGCAGGGATGGAGCCAGTAAAGGTGAGTGTAGGTGGGGAGTTAGGGAGGGGATAGGTCAGTCCAGGGAGGACGGACAGGTCAAGGGGGTGGGATGAGGTTAGTCGGTAGGAGATGGGGGTGCGGCTTGAGGTCGGAGGAGGGGATGGGTGGCAGGAAGAACAGGTTAGGGAGGCGGGGACGAGCTGGACTGGTTGTGGGATGCGGTAGCGGGAGGAGAGATTTTGAAGCTTGTGAAATCCACATTGATACCATTGGGCTGCAGGGTTCCCAAGCGGAATATGAGTTGCTGTTCCTGCAACCTTCGGGTGGCATTGTTGTGGCACTGTAGGAGGCCCAGGATGGACATGTCGTCTGAGGAATGGGAAGGGGAGTTGAAATGGTTCGCGACTGGGAGGTGCAGTTGTTTATTGCAAACCGAGTGTAGGCGTTCTGCAAAGCGGTCCCCGAGCCTCCGCTTGGTTTCCCCGATGTAGAGGTAGCCACACCGGGTACAGCGGATGCGGTATACCACATTGGCAGATGTGCAGGTGAACATCTGCTTGATGTGGAAAGTCTTCTTGGGGCCTGGGATGGGGGTGAGGGAGGAGGTATGGGGGCAGGTGTAGCACTTCCTGCGGTTGCAGGGAAAAGTGCCAGGTGTGGTGGGGCTGGAGGGGAGTGTGGAGCGGACAAGGGAGTCACGGAGAGAGTGGTCCCTCCGGAAAGCGGATAAGGGTGGGGAGGGAAAGATGTCTTTGGTGGTGGGGTTGGATTGCAGATGGCGGAAGTGTCGGAGGATGATGCGTTGGATCCGGAGGTTGGTGGGGTGGTACGTGAGGACGAGGGGGATTCTTTTTTGGTTCTTATTGCGTGGACGGGGTGTGAGGGATGAGGTGCGGGAGATGTGGGAGACACGGTTGAGGGCGTTCTCGACCACCGAGGAGGGGAAGTTACGGTCCTTGAAAAACGAGGACAACTGAGATGTACGGGAGTGGAATGCCTCATCCTGGGAGCAGATGCGGCGGAGGCGAAGGAATTGGGAATAGGGGATAGCATTTTTGCAGGAGGGTGGGTGGGAGGAGGAGTATTCTAGGTAGCTGTGGGAGTCGGTGGGCTTGAAATGAATATCAGTTTCTAGGTGGTTGCCCAATATGGAGACAGAGAGGTCCAGGAAGGGGAGAGAGGTATTAGAGATGGTCCAGGTAAACTTAAGGTTGGGGTGGAAGGTGTTGGTGAAGTGGATGAACTGTTCGAGCTCCTCGTGGGAGCACGAGGCAGCGCCGATACAGTCATCAATGTAACGGAGGAAGAGGTGGGGTTTAGGGCCGGTGTAGGTACGGAAGAGGGATTGTTCCACGTAACCTACAAAGAGGCAGGCGTAGCTTGGGCCCATGCGGGTACCCATGGCCACCCCTTTTGTCTGTAGAAACTAGTCCCACCTGCCTGCACTTGACCCATATCCCGCTGAACATTTTTTATTCATTTCCTTATCCAAATGTCTTTTAAACGTTGTAACTGCACCCGCATTCACCACTTCATCTAGAAGTTCATTCCGTATGCAAACCATTCTGTGTAAAAAAAACTATCCCTCATATCTTTCTTAAATCTTTCTCCTCTTACCTTAAAAATATGCCCACTTGTCTTTGATTCCCCCGCCCTGTGGAAAAGACATCTGCCATTCACCTTATCTATACCCACCAGGATTTTATAAAACTTTAAGGTAACGCTTCAACCTCCTGTGCTCCAGTGAAAAAAGTCCTAGTTGATCCAGCTTCTCCTTATAACTCAAATGCTCCATTTGGCAATATCCTGGTAAATGGGCAGCACAGGGGCTCAGTGGTTAGCACCGGGTTCAATTCCAGCCTTGGGTGACTGTCTGTGTGGAGTTTCTACATTCTCCCCGTGTCAGCATGGGTTTCATCCAGGTGCTTCAGTTTCTGCCCACAGTCTAAAGATGAACAAGTTAGGTGGATTGGCAATGGAAAAGTGGCCTTAGTGTCCAGGGATGTGCGGGCTTGGTGGATTATCCATGGGAAATGCAGGGTTACAGGGAGGGTGGGGGGTTGGGTCTTGGGGGGATGCTCCTCAGAGGGTCAATGTGGACTCGAAGGGCCAAATGACCTGCTTCCACAAAGTACGGATTCTATGATCCTATAAATCTTTCCTGAACCTTCTCCAGCTAGATAATATCCTTTGTAGAACAGGACGATTAGAAGAAGCCTCACCATGTCCTATACAACCTCAACATAACGTCCCAACTCCTATAGTCAAATGTCTGCGCAATGAAGGCAAGAGTGCAAAACGCCTTCTTAACTACCCTATATGTGATGCAAACTTCAAAGAATTATGTACCTGAATCCGACGTTCTCTCTGTTCTACAATGCTACCCAAGACCCTACTTTTAACTGCCTTGTTTGTTCACATTTATCCAAATTAAACTCCATCTGCCACACTTCAGCCCATTGACCCAATTGATCAAGATCACCTTATAATCTGAGATAACCTTCTTCACTGTCCACTATACCATCAATTTTTTTTTCTAACCATTTGTGGGAAGTGAGTATCACTAGCTGGCCAGCATTTCTTGCCCATCCCTAGTTCCCCCTTGAGATGTTAGTAGTGAGTTCCTTCTTGAATTTTAGTGTCATTGATCTTGGATAAGTGAACAAACGTTTTGAATCATATTCAACAGTTTCTCAATTAATTAATTTGCTACCATCTACTAACACATTGCACGCTTTCATTTAGAAGGTCCAGGTATTATAGTGACTTGCATTCAATACGTGCATTCACAGATAAAAGAAATTTCCTCACTCCAATCAAAAAATGTAGGGTGAGCTACTCCTTGGTTGTGGTTCCCTTTCTTTGTTTTAAAATCCATTTACAAAGAATAAAAACCGAAAATCTGCTGGAAATCCATCCAACAATTATAAGGTACTACTGAGTTGGTCTCCTGACTAAAGGACACAAAGTTTTCTTTGTCCAGATGCATAATTTTACAAAAAGATATTAATCAGATAATCATCAGTATAGAAACAAACTCTTCACCAGAATAAAGAAAGTGAAATTAAGTTTGTTAAAAGGATAAACAATCAAAAAAAGGTTTATTGTTACTCATTCCAAATAGGAATCAGAAAGTAGCAGATAATTAGGATAATTAATTCTGTATAATTAAGTTACAGTCAAATTGAAGTTATGACTGAGAAATTAAGTGCCTTATTGCGATGTTCAAATCAAGTACTCTCTTACTTACTGTTAAAAAATTTACACTAATTACCCTTAAGTGCATTATGTTGAAGACTGTGTGTAACCAAACAATGTGATCCTCAACAGTAACTGCCTCACAGCTTATACTTCAGTTTCATTTGACCAGGAGAGTAACCTTCAATAAATCTGCTTTTGCTGTAGGTCAATTAAGATTAAACATCACATTCTTTTTCAATTGAACAGCCAAAGTTTTCACAGTCTTTCTTTAGAATTAATACTCTCTTGATCAAAACTTTCCATTTTAAGAGCTTCAATAACTCTTAAACTTTTCAACTCCAGCAGGGGGAGAAAAAAGCTTCAAGACCAGGGTATCTTGGCAAGGTGAATCCAAAGTTGACTTAATGATAGGAGACAGAAGGTGGTAGTTAAAGGTTTGTGTGATCAGAAATTGATGTCCAGTGGTGAACCATAGGGATC